ACTAATCTGAAGGAGGTGAAGTTGTCACAGTATGGAAATGGATGCGCGGAGTTCAACCTCTGGGTAAACACGATCAATGGGACCAGCGTTAATATAACAAAGTATGATGATGAAAATGATGATTGAAAAAGAAGCACAATTCATTCGTAAAAATCCCTCGATAAATTTTTCTAATAGCATTTAGCTAATTTTAATATATATGTATTTTACGCATACACATACTGCATACTTGATATAAAAATAGATATCCTCAGTGATAAAAAAAAAAATAATAACTAAATAAAAAGTATATTTGGCGGGTTAAAATATTTTGAAAATATGCTTGTAAATCCTTTATATAACCATTTTCCCGGGATATCTAATTCGAAAGTTATTTCGGTCAAAGACTTGAGGAACGAGAAACGTTGAAAAAAGAGTGTACGCGCGTAAATCTTTATTCTAAAAAAAGACGATCTCTAAATTATCAAAAGCACGTGAAAAGAAGAAAGAAAAAATCATGTGATTCAAGATTATAAAAAATATTTAAACTTATTTTTAAATTTAACTATATAATCAATAAAATAATAAAAACCAATTATTGTTTAACCAATAATTTTTAATTGATTGTATATAGTATATACGTATAAGTATTATTAGATTAAATAATATTTTTTGATTTTATTTTATTATTAAATCGAAATCAAGTTTATATTTATTCTATTCTTTAAGAATTTATATTTCTACTTATATTTATCATTCGTTTCACTATTTTTTTATTTTATCGATTTTTATTAATTGACGGTATCATCAGTTTGAAAATTCTTTAAAAAAAGATAGGATTGGTTCTTTTTCCTTAAAGATAGTTGTTCTTTATGAAAACCATTATATAAATTCAATATTAATAGATGGATTTTAACAACTAATTTTTGAATTTAATAAAAAAGAAATTTTTTAAAAAATTTTACTATTGTATTAATTAATACTCGATAAACTAACCAAGGAATACATTGTTATATTATTCTAATTCTAATTCTAATTATTCTTGATAGACGGATGTTAATTTCGGATACCATTAACCAAAGTTGCTGAACCGTGGATAAAATTGAAAGAAGTTAGTCCAGATGATTTTGATTTACTTTTTTTTTTTTTGATGAAATCATCGGTGCAACAATATCAATTCGGAATGCACGTATAGGTTATAGATCGTTGGGTCAAGGCTACTACTGTACTGGGATAATTAATCACTAATGGAGGATGTTTCTTTACTAAAACAAAATCCCAGAATAGCAGGGATGGATAAAGAAATTAATAATCTTTATCAGGTCATCAGTAAGTACAAAAGGTTACCATCGTTGTGTTTAATTAAAGCGGATTTAATGGACGAATTATTTTTCAGATAATTCATTCAACAATACAGAAATTCATCGTGAGGTTGGTATACCCGAAATAAGAACATCATTGATTAGTGGACCATGTGGAGTCGGAAAAAAAACCTTAGTACAGTAAGAACAATCAATGGTGTCATTTGCGCATCAAAAAATGCCTTTTTAACTCTAAGATTTTCTGTTTATATGATTAATCCTACTTTAGGCACGTTTGTAAGAAGATTCCTGCAAAATTGTTCATTATCTCACTATCATCGATCATAATAAAATACGATTTACTGGAGAATGTTGAATTGGGCACGAAGACGAGAGAAGAGGATAGTGATAATGACGATAATGATCCAATACGATCAATTTTTATTAGAGCTAAATTGTCTGCACCGTCAGTCATTCTTTTGAAAGATTTGGATATTTTAGCGAAAGGACACGGTGAGTGCACAGAGATCTAGTAAGGGAAGATGCCTTGGATATTTCCTATTCTTATTTTATATACAAAATTTAGATGGCGAATGGAAACCCAAAATTATAAACATGTTGGAAGGAGAATTTCAAGAAATTTACGAGAAGGTATCAATTACATACAATACCTCTAATGATTTTAACCTTATCTGTGGAACTTTGATCCGACTTTATCAGTTGTCAGGTTTTTATTATAGGCTTAACTTGCGATGCTGTAAAATTACCAGATTCAATGCGCAAATTGGATTTTTTTCAACATAACTTGAATTTGGATCTTCCTACCCGGTATAAATTTATTATCTGTTTCCTCCATGGAACTATTAAATTACCTGTCATTACCATTTACTGTTGTTATCATTATTGTTCAAATAGAATTCAGCGTGAGGAAATACTGGAGCTTTGTCTTTCAAATTTGAGAATAATAAACTCGGAGGAAATAGATGATCTTGTAAAAAGATTAGGAATGGTAAATATCATCAATCCGGAATTTACTTAACAACTTTTAAC